GGCAAAAAAAAAAAAAAAAACACAAAATTTCATTATCTTTTGCTTTTTATGCATTTATTCATTTATTCTGTGTATAAGTCAAATTAATGTTTGTTTTAATTTTCCATTCTCCTCTGCACGCCACAGCTGCGGCCGCCATAATCTCCAACCAAATGAGACCTGCCGCATCGAATCGGATATGCGGCGCGCATATCCAGCTTGCTGTCCGCGCTTAGTGTGTCAAACAGACAGCAATTTCATTTAATTTGTAATTGCGACTTAATTGTTGAAACTTAATTGCTTTAATTTCGAGAAATAGTCATTGTTGTTGTAATTGTGTTAAGTAATTTGTCACGTTTATAGTAAAACTTAAAAAAAAAAATACGTAGCATCGTGCAGGTATTTTTTTACATACATATGTACGTACGTTTGTTGGGAAAGAAGATAATTCTATGGAACATACGAGCAAAGTAAAATTTAAAAGAAATTTCAAAATAAAAAGAGCTCGAAAAAAATTAAATTTTTTTCTTTTTGAAGCCTTAAGCTTATGAAACAGAAAGAAATCGGAAAAAAATTAAGTTACGTTTATAAATAAAAACCAAAATTTACAAAAAATAAATTTAAACTAAAACTTATAAAGTTATTTTTGTGAATAAGGTTTTAAAAAATGCTGTTTATAATAAAAAAATAAGAAAATATGTAAGTATGTATACATATAAGTATAGTTTTATAGAAATGGCAGCTATAACTTCTATCATGTGTGAATTTTGTTGTTTCTCCGCATAATTTTTTCAATTTTTAAACCTCAAACCCAATAAAATTGTTGAATATTAAAAAATTATAAAAATGAGAAACTTAAAGACTTAAAATCTAAGAGTTTAATTGTTAACCAACAACTATAAAAACCGCATGATCAAGTCTAAACAGCAACAAAACCGCAACATTTTACATGGCGAACTCAGCTCAGTGCATAGATCATTGGCTTTAAATGCCACAGTTGCTGGAACAAGTTCCAGTAAACTCGATGAAGAAGGCTGATGAGAAGAGATGGTGACCTCCAAAATAGCAGCAAAATTATGGTTAATTTCCACAAAAAAATCCACTTAAACATGGCTTCAAGCTGAATAAAATTGCTGAATGGTTTTATGGAAATTTAAAACTAAAGGCATAAAAAATTGGTCTTCTTTTATTTTTTAAAGCTTTAACGAAAAAAAGGTTTTAACATTTTAAGTTGTAAGATTAAAAAAATTAGAAAGTAAAAAATGTAAAAAAATACATATTTTTTAGAGCTTACAGCTTTGACGAATAGGAAGGAAAAACAACGTTAAACAAAAGTTTTGTGGAAATTTATCAATGAAAATTTACATTCAACAAAACTTAGTTTTTTTCAAATTATACATACATATATAGCTTTAATGAGCTTTTTATTATTGTAGTAAAAAAATATTTCGAAAAAAACGAAAAAAAAATTATTAAAAAAATAAGTAAGTTTATAATATTATTTTGACAAATTTAGAGAGCTTTAACCATCTTTAACGATTAGGAAAAATAAAAAAATTAAGAAATTCAGTTAATAAATATTTGTTTGTTAAAATAAATTATTTGGTTTTAAAAGATCTTTTTTAAGAAACGAAAATTTGTAAAAAGTAGATAAATTTATAATGTGATAATAAAAAATTTTACGAGACAAATTTAAAGCCAAAATTTTAAAAATCAATTATTTGTTACCTCTGCAAATATTATTTAAGGGAACTGATATTAAAACAAGTAATTTTTGAGCAAAAAAAACCGACTTCAATTCATGTACATATATATATTTCATGATTCAATAATCGGATCTAAACCAGATTAGTATGGGACCTCTGAGACACTACCTTTCAGATGCAAAAAGAATTATCGAAATCGGTTGACGTGGTTCAAAGTTATGCGGTAACACACATAAAAAAAAATATTCCGACGAACTGATAACCTCCTCCTTTTTGGAAGTTGCTTAAAAAATAAACAAGACTGCGAAAAGTAAGGCCAAAAAAAAAATTATAAAATAAATGGTGTCATATTAAAAAAGTACAAATTTGAAAATAAAAAATTTAAACAGAATTGGGAAAAGTAAGAACAAACAAAAAAAAAAATTTACTTTTTGTAAAGCTTTTTAAAACAAATATTTTTATAATAGAATAAATTGTATTTAAAAAAAGTAAACACTTGAAAATAAAAAATTTTAACCGAATTGTGTTTATTAATATTTTAAAACAATTATTTTTAAAAAGTAAAAATTTGAAAATAAAAAACTTAGGCAATACGCGTTTTCTAATTTTTTTTGTTTCGACAAAATCGTCAGAACAAAAGTTCGTCACAATATGCATGCATAGCAACCGTTAAAAATTCTCGTTAAAAATTTCTGGACAACACCACTCTGGGGCTGCCAAATTGTGCGAATCTGTACAAATGTACAAATCGTGTCATCCTTGCTTAAGAATAAAAAATTTAAAATTATTTTTTTTGTTTTTTTTTTTTTATCTAAAGATCTTTAAATTTTTTTCGCTTAGCTTCAGCAACATTTTTCTTCTTTTTTTTATATATTTTTTTCTTCAAATGCAAATTATTCCATGCAAATATTTACATAGCTATACATACATATGTATGTATATTTGTATAGCTATAGCTACACCGCAAATGCAAATGTATACTCGCTTAATGGCTTCATAACGTGTTCGACGGTTGCAAATAAATATTTACCGTAATTAGCAAATTACATTTCCCCCCCTAAGTACTTATTCATATTTGCTTATCATTCATCGAACATTTAGTTAGTTGCACTAAGTTGATCAGCTGCAACTGTTGATTGTTTCATTTCTTTTATTTTTAGTTACAATATTTCCTCTGTTATTTTTGTAAAGCCTATAAAGTTGGCTGTGAATTTGTTAAGCAAATCACTTGCAATTCAAACTTTCAGCAACGTGTCACGCATCATGAAACAGTACTTATTGCTATTGTGTTTGTTTGTGTGTCTGTGCGCCATCAGTGAAGCGAGTAAGTGAAAAAACTATCGCAAAATTGTTGTTATGCAGTTCGAAAAAAAAATAAAAATATTCTTGCCAACAGCATCCCCACAAGTTTGTGGCTACACCGCGCTCGATGGACATTTTGAGTTTTTGAGATATTTCCCCGGCATCCAGGAAGGAGAGGATTATATCGATTACGGCAACAACAAGGATGGTGTTTGCTATCAGAGAGCAGTGTGCCTTGAGACCTATGAGACTAAAGTAGAATCGTAAGTACTGATTTGTAGAGAGTGTGTAATCAGTGAAAGACAATTTTTAACGGAGGCGGCGCGATTGCGGGTTAAAAAAAGTCTACTGTAGATGTTGCCTCTCCGGTATTAAATTTTCGCACAAACCTAAATCGGAAATGGGCCATCACATCTGCAAGTTCGCCTTTGGGTTGCCCTTCTTTTCAACAAAATGATTGGAGCTGAGCCCGACTTAGGCCGAGGCGACGGAATGAGCGGCTGAGCGGCATTTCGGTATGGCGCCGCTCAGCCGCTCAGAATTTTCGCTTATTGCGTGGCCTCGACGTAAGTGCGTCAACCATTCCGTTTCTCCAGGTTCGCTGACAAATATTAGAATCCTATAATGAGGCTAATATGTTTCAATTGGTCTTTCCAGAGCTGTGTCTTTCATTGCCCAAAGTGGGACCTGAAAGCTACAGTTTACCACAAGACAAAGCTAGACGCAATACAAGATGATGTCTCGTGAGATGCGAGAGTAGACTATTGCAACTGGAAAATAGTCTTAGGTAGTCAACGAAAACTCTATTTAGAACACCGCGCAATGATTTTGGCGCTCTAGCGATGAAGAAGAGTCAGATTCCATACAAATCTTTCTGTGTGAATTTCAAGCCCCAGACAGTTTAGGATTCTCCCTTTAATAATTCGGATTATTTACATAGCATCTTGGACAAGCAAAAATTAAAAAATTAAAATAATAAAAACTTTAGGAAAATTCAACAAATTTGTATCAAAATTTCAACTTTTTATTCTAAATTTTTAGAAAATATTTGGGCATGCAGTTTTATAGCCCATACAATTTTATTCTAATGAAGTGCAAGTTTCAAATGGCTAAAAATCGTGTTGATTTTTGAGATTTTTATTGGAGTCTACTTTTTCGGGTTTTTTAATATAACAGGCGTAATTTACAAAAACTTGAGTTGATATTTTGAAATTTTGTTGCTGACGGTCTCCCGCGTTTTATTTCATAAGAAGTTCATTTTTGTATGAAAAAAGTGCAAAAATCCGTCACCAAAAAAAAAAAATTCCAAAAATCAACCCGATTTTTTAACCGTTTGAAACGTGCACTTCATTAGACTAAAAGTTGAAATTTTGATGAAAATTTGTTGAGTTTTCTTAAATTTTGCATACAATTTGAAACTGTAATTTACACGGTTTTGGTTAAAGCTTAGACGATATTTTTATATAAAAATAATAAAAATTTAGCTCGAAAAACAATACGAATACTTGAAGAAAATCAACACGAGGTCATTTGTTTGAGTCACTGTAAATAAGGAAATTTAGGAAACGTGGGATTTTTTTCGCGCATATTCTTCCACAAGAAAAGCATGTTTATATGAAAAAAAGCGCAAAACGCCGTAAAAAAAAAAAAAATTTTAAGATCAATGCGATTTTTTAGCCGCTCAAAATTTGCACTTGTTTAACTAAAATTGTATAAGCCTTTTAATCGCATACCCAAATATGTTTTAAAAATTCTGCTTAAAAAGTTCAACATTTAGATTAAAATTTGTGGAATTTTACTAAATTCTGTAAAAGTCTAATGGCCTTATTCATAAAAATAAAGTAGGTATAAAGAGCTTTATAAATTGACGTTTTCATACATTTTTCTCAACTCATGAGTGCTCTCAGTAAATATACCTAAATAAAAGTATATTTTTTCGAGTTTATGAAATAAACAGCGGAACACAACAGGGGCATTCCTTTAAATTTAAAGAGCCTAATATATAAATAATCGACAGTTTATATGAAAAATCAATCCACTACTCCACATGTTCGAATCCAAGGCAATCGCTTTAATATGTACATATGTTTAAATCTTGTTTTTTTTTCTTGCCTTAAACTACGTTGTTTTACTTAGCTTTACTAAAGAACTCTCTTTTCCACTTCTCTTTTTCCAGCTGCAATGACTACCAGGTGGACTGTAATAATCGTCAGACCTTCAAATCGATATTCCCTACTTGCTGTGTGAAGTGCTAAGCGTTTAAGGAAAAGTAAAACGCATCAGAAGTGCGTGCTGACTAACATACATAATATGTATGGAAATGAAAGAAGAGATAAATAAATTAACAAAAAAAAAAAAAAAAATTGGGAGATTCTTTTAAATTCAAGCCTAAGAGAATACTGCCACTGTTGGCAGCTAAACAAAACCAGGGCCCGAATCACCGCCTCATCTGTTATCGAAATAAACTCGATATGAATTTTAATTTTGAAATTGCGGCATTCGATTGCGAGTACACTTTTTTAATTAAAATTATATTGCAGATAAAACAGCTGCCACTTTATTTCATTCGATTCGAAACGATCACGAATGGCATAATTCGGGCAAAGCTGTACCTCGGCAGCTGTGCTTCGATAGCCGCGGATAACAATCGATTAGTTGATTCCCCTTAGCAACTTATTGACAAATAAACGAGCAATCGTTAAGATGGCTCAGCTCTAGCAAAATCAGAAAATTCGGCTGATCGAAGCGAGCAGCTGAAACTGGTTTACTGAGTGAGTTCAATGGCAGCGGCATTACAAATATTGTATTATTAACTTATATCCATAAACACATGGCAATGATATCATTTAAGCAATTTTTTTAAATGTAAATTTACAAAATATGCGCATTAGGCTGCACGACCTTTCAAACAAACAAAAAAAGTTCGCCGTGCACCACTGATTCTAAAATATTTTTGTAAGGCCTTTCCAAAAAATTGTTTTTTTTTTTTTAGCCGAACGTAGTAGAGGGCAATGAACTTTGGAAGAAAAAAATTGCCTCCAGAAAAAACATCGTCATATCATAGTTTAAGAAAACTCCATTTTTGGAGGTATTTTAAAATCGGTCCAACGCACTTAAATCTTAATTTTTTCCGAAATATTTTGGTGGACGTCCTAAAATATGATAAATTTTGAAATCCCGGCGGGAAACCGCACATTTTTGTTTGGTGATGCACTCTAATGTACATACATAGGTATATATAATAGGGAGGTTCAATTTAGTATGGGAGATTTTTTCGACTAAATATGCGCTTATAGCAAAGAAGGAAATTTTCCGAAGAACCATGGGTCTAAAATCAACTTGAAGTTTGCCAAATTGCGAAAATAGGTTTCTTAGTATTTTGAGGTAGTGTCGTAGAGAAGTGCTTAAGTTTTGTATAAAAAACATAATATAAGGAGGTTTTTGGTATGAGGAATCCATTTCTGCATTTATCTTTTTCTTAAAACTTTCACCAGAGGACGCAACGGTGAAAATTTTCACATTTTCTTCGAAACTTATTTACGCAATTTGGAAAACTCCAAATTGATTTTAGACCCATGGTTTCTTCGGAAAATTTGCTTAGAATTTCACCTAGAATCCTTCTATGCTATACGCGCATAGTAAACAAATAATGTGACCCGCCCTAATGTTAATAGTAAGGAAAAATCTAAAAAAATTTTGACACACTTCGCTCTTCATCATCAACTACTTATTTATTACACGTATAACGTTCACAACACTCTGGATATGGTTTACTAAAATCGGTGGGCAGATATTTAAAATCCCTGCAGCTGGGTTGCACGCGTGGACACTGGCTGAGACGTATCAAACCTTCCTCCTGGCAGGTTAGCTCGGCACACAAGTCCACATTGGTTGGCTTGACGCTGTCATTTAGCTTGATGGGGAGCTGCAACTCCTTGTGAAAGCAATGACCGGGATTATCTATTGAACGAGGATACACTCTGAGTATATTATTTATGAGATGGAATAAATAAAATTCTAAAGCTCACTTGGATCCGGTGAATTGGGTATGTAGGACTCGGCGTGCGTCGCAGCCACAATGCAAAAAGCAATGTTTAAAAGTACAAGCAATTTCATTTTAAGCTTTCTTAGTAATCTTGGTGAACCTTCTGCCGCTAAGCTGGTTGTTGTTAAACTGATTTTGCTCACCACCAGCCAGTATTTATTTATTTATTTGTTTACTTTTTGAAATGCTAATCTGTTGAGATGAGTTTAGAGCTTGAGACGTGGTGGCGTCATTTCATCTGTGCAATAAAATTATCAATGAAGTGAGGTGAGAAGCGAACGGGATGGGGAGAGTACAGTCTGTTTAAAATAAGAAAACAAGCGCCCGAAGTAATAATGCTAATTTGAAATATGATTACGAAGAAAATATACAAAAGAGCAACGCGCGGAGGGTAGCAGGTATTTAGTATGTAAATAAAAATAACAATTACGTATACATATTACGAATGTGGCGAAAAGATATTTAAAATAGCTGGGATTGAAATTAACAAAATTGAATGCGACTAATCGTTTATGCTTTTGATGTATGCCAGAATTAGGCCAGTAGGTCAAACTGAACCTGAAAGAGGCGAGTAAACATAAAGGACTAGAGAGTAAACGGCTCCGTAGAATGAGTGAAAAAGGCTCTTTGAATAGAGCTCATTCCAAGCCTGATATCTCGTCTTGATCGATATTCGAAGGGGACAACAGGTGGAATATTTCAAAGGAGAGGGGGAATTAGCGTAGTTTATTGATTACGGCCCACGCCGACAGACGTTTGTTGCTCTAAAGAAAAACAAACAAACGCACAAAGGTCGATGAATCTTTTGAAAAATCAGTCCCTCGAATTTTATGCAATTTTGGTTGAAGCAGACTACACATGCTTACCTAGATCATTGAGTTGAGAAGCCCCTAGCATGAAGCCCGAGGATCGAATCATAAGGGACTTAAGTGACTTTGTGAAATGGATCCTTACTTATAGGAGAGATGTTTGGCATATGGGTGGTGTCTACTATTCGTAACGGAATGTTGATGGAAATATAGGTCTACTGTTCACTTGGCCTGATAGAAAGAGAGAAAGAGAGAGCGTGATATAGAGGTAAAGAGGCAGGAGAAGCTTTTTAATGCTTTTGGTAGATTTTATTACACCCTACAAAGAGCAAACGCCCTCTCTGGTGCATTAGATCAGAGGTGGGCAACTGCGCAGAGCATTTTTGTATTTTCTACGATTGATAACAAAGCATTCTCTCTGTGGATCAAAACTAACTTAATTTGCCCAGACGCTGAACTTGATTGAAGAAATGGGAACAGCAGACATACATACAAATGTAGGTATACATATCGTTACCCTAATATAGAAAGGCCATATCTCACAACGTCGCTGAAATGCAAAAAAGCCGTAACTAACAAAAATTTTTTTATCGCATCAAACGATGTAGGGATTCAAAATTCAATGAATGCATCACAAACAATCAAAAAGTGAATTTTGGAATTTTACTTAGTTACAGCCTTTTGTATTTCAGCGACGATGTGAGATAGGGCCTTTCTATATTAAGGTAACGGTAACGATATGTAGGTAGGTTGTACAAATACACACCCATATCTACACTTATTTGTATATATCAATACAATGTAGAAAACTACAGCATCTTGAAAAGTAAGAGTGCAGCACTGCGATCTTGATTCTCAATCGCATGCTGTTGCTTCGAGTAATCACACGGCGCACAAACAACCATTCATCAACATAATTGTAAAAATAAAAAAAATAAAACAAAAAAGTTCTAGGGAAAAGTGCGTAAACAAATAAATTTGGTGCAAGTCGCGGAAGGTTAACTCTTGTGAGCTGCTTCTTGTGACTGATAGGGATTTCGTAATTTTTCTGTAATTAATTGTATACATACAACACATGTACTCATGTACATATGTATGTATATATGTATGTATGAAAATGAGTAAATTTTTCCACCGCTTTGATTGAGTTGCTGGTGCGTGTGCGCGATTAATAAGCTATAAAAGCGCGTGGAAAATTAATTTCGGGTTTCAGTTGGCGCTGTGTGTGGCATGAGAAAAATAAGACTGGTGGCTAGAGGAATTTTTTAAATTAATTTCGGTTTGTTTTTAAGAAAGTGTAGAGATTAAGTAAATTTGTATTATTTTTTTTTAATATCAAAATAAAATTTTTGAAAACTGTTAAATTGCTAAAATTAATTTATCAAAAGTGCATACCCTAAATTTTTGTAAAAAATTTCGCAACAACTGTAATAAAAAATTTCGAAAGAGTGGCCTTCAAACGAGTGGCTGAAAAACGATGGCAATGGTTTATTTGTTTCTGAAGTTGTTGTTCCTATTGGAAATTTTAAGCGCAGCTGCAGCTTGTAAGTATTTTTTTAGTGCAGCAAAAAGAAATGTTTTTAAAAAATATTTTTATTATTTTCGTTTCAAGAAAGTTTAAATAAATCTATATTTTTTTTCAAACCGACGAAAGAGAAAGTTTTGTACTTTTCGGTGAATTTCTGTGAAAATATTTGCGGCAAGCGGAAGCTAAATCTTTTATTTTGTGAAATTTCCAATTTTTTCCCACTTGAAAACTGTACGTAACTTTAGATAACATAACAAATGACATAAATAGCTGGGCATAAATTTGGTTGTTAGAAAACTGCACATAAATTTCTCGTCAATCGAAAGTTAGACATACTTTTTTGTTGAATGAAAACTCGGCATAAATTTTTGGCCATTTATAAAAACGAACTAAATTTTTCGCCAAATAAAAATTGGGCATACATTTTTCGGCAATTTAAAACATCAGATATAAATTTTTGATTACTAAAAAATCGTACATGGTCCTGCTCGCTCATACTCGTACATGGCGTATGAGTAACATTTTCCATGTTAAAGTTGGAATTTTTTTCAAACTTAAAATAAAAATATCTTGGGAAAACGACCTGATCTAGAAAAAATGGCTTGCAGATCCGCAATCTATGACCCAAAATTAAGTTTCAAGTCTCGGAGTTTTTTGTGTCATTCTAGCGTTCCTACAGTGTAATTAGAAAAAAATTAAAAAAGGGTGTATATTTCCTTCCCAATAAAAATTGGGCATAAACTCTTGTGCATACACATTCTTGGTCATCTGAAAACTGGATATAATTTTTGATATCTTTAGATGTGCATATACATTTTTTATAACTTAAAAAACTCAACACCAACTTTTGGTGAGTAAAAACGCTGGCGAAAAATTCATTAGTCATTTAAAAAATGGATACATATCTTTGGTAATTAAAAAAATTTTCATCAAATTTTGGTTAATAGAAAACTTACATGAATTGTCGTTTTTCTAATAAACACAAATTTCTTGCTTATTTAAAATAAAAATTTTAATGCCCAAAAATTTATGAACGATTTTTACTTTCATGCATAAATTTTGGAGCTCAATTAAAAAAAAAAGAACGCTATATATGTACATATGAACATACATACATAAATGAAAATATCTTTCAAAAATGTTCTGTTTTAACAAAAATAATTTTTTTCCCCACCACAGCACCAACAGCTTGCAGTTACACATCTCTCACGGGCGCATCGCAAGCAGTGTCCTATGACGCCGCCACTGATAAGAGTGTAGAATATGTGGATTATGGCACCAACACGAATGGCATTTGCGTACAACGAGCGCGTTGTAGTAAAGAATTTGTGACGCAAGTGATAAAGTGAGTGGAAAATGAAATTTATAAGTGATAACGCTCAAAAATATTTATATTGATATTTTTTTTTCGTTATTGCCACAGATGCAGTGACCTGCGTATAACCTGTGAGAATCGGAAATTATTTGAAGGCGAATTTCCAGCTTGCTGTGTGAAGTGCTGAGGAGATTTAATTCAGAAAAAAATCAGGATTGTCAGTATAATAAAACGAAAGAAAAGGCAATCACTTTGAACTGCCTAAATTTGAATTTTGCGATAAATAAATTGAAGAGATTTACGAGGGAGAGAGAGAGCCGTTTTGGATTATTTGTTTGATGTGATACTACCCAGTCAACTGGTATGACGTTACTAGTATTGCTGCTGGTTATTGGTTGTGTCTCAGAGGTGGTCCCATAAAGAATTTTCAATTAAAATACAGTTCTTTCTCTAACAAACCCCATATAAACCCAAGTTTAACAACTTGTAAAAAACTTCAAAAAAGTGCAACAAATTTTCACCTAAGTTTCAAACTTTTTCCTCGGAAGTGTTAGAATTTTTTCGAGTACACAGTTTTTTAGCCCAATCAATTTTAGTCTGATAATGTGCAAGTTTCAAGTGACTGAAAGCTACCGTTGATTTTTTAGAATTTTTTGTCGCCAAAGGTGTTGCGGTTTTCATCCATATACAAATAAATTGAGTTTATTCATTATAAGGAAGCCAATGCGACAAAAAAAAATTCTAAAAAATTAACGGTAATTCGTAGCCACTTGAAATTTGCACGTTATCAGACTAAAATTGCAGTGGCTAAAAAACTGTGTACTCAAAAAAAATCTAGCACTTCCGAGAAAAAAGTTTGAAACTTAGGTGAAAATTTGTTGCACTTTTTTGAAGTTTTCTACAAATTGTTAAACTTGGGTTTATATGGGGTTTGTTAGAGAAAGAACTGTGTTTTAATTGAAAATTCTTAAAAATAAATAAATAAACAAAAGTGGAACACAATATCACTTTGAAATGGCGTGCTATAGATATGACCGATACTGTATATATATATATTTTTTTATATGAGAATTGAAGTCGGTTTTTTTTTGCTAAAAATTACTTGTGATTATTAACGATATATCTCACACCTTACGCATACAAATACAGATAAACTTAGTGCTTTTATATTTTCCCTCAGTGTATCTCCCGCATTTGTGTGGCTGCATTCACAGCCAACAAGCAATGTCAAAATGACAACTGATTGTCATCGCAGCCTCGACACAGCAGTGCGCCGCGCCATCTGTTCCACTATAAGTGTAAGTAGCTGTTCCTTGAGAAAATTCACGCCGACTTCCACTCTCCAAAAGTGCTCGCCGAAGAGCAAGTCGCAGTCCTTCGGCTGACCTGCGCAGCTAAAGCTTCATTCGCTAGCTGTGAGGCAGAATTTTGCTATTCTTTTGTTGCTTTTGCTAATGCCACCGCCACCGCCGCCACCGACGCTGCTAATCAAATTTCAAAC